CTAGGTTACAATAGGATCAATTTCATTAAAAAATAATAATTTTCCTGCATACCCGATCTAATCGCGAATTTGTATCATTTTCAAGCATTTGGTCCCACTGTGCGGCGCCGGCGCCGCCTCTACAGGGTGATTCACAAGCGGTGACCAAACCTTCGTATTCTTTAATGAATTTTAAGGGGAGTCTTTCTTATAAAGTTTTTATCTAGAACGCTTCGTTAAAAAGATACAGGGTGTTAAACTTGAAAAAATGTTTTTAATTTTTTTAAATAATTTAAAAACCAGCATGTGAAATAATTTTAAATTGGGCACATGTATGTATGTTAACATTGTCCAAAATCAGGGGCCTTTTCCTAAAATTTAGATGCTCCAGTGGCGGAGATACAGGGTATGGGTGGCATATTTTTTTAAATAAAATAGTACGCCACTACTTGTCTTTCAATTTTCTACAAATTACTACTCTCTTATGTTTTTCGAAAAAGGCCCTACTTTCGAGTAAAACTTAAAACATTTACTGAAAACACTTTTACTTAAATGACATGACAAACACTAATCATTCGGTTCCTTATTCGAATAATGAAATTAATAACATTAGCCATCATTTTAAGGATTTATTTTGAAAAATGCTCAAAAATACCTACATGTCCATGAACACAAGCGCGACATCTTTTTAGTAACGAAAATGTAATTTGTTCGAAATTTATTGTTGTTTGAACCTGATGAAAAGCGTTATTTATTATTTCTCCCAAGTGCTCAGAATGTCAAAGTTGCTATCGCAGCCTACTAACAATAATTTTTGTGATATTTTTGTAAATTAAAAAAAATTCAGTATAAAAGATGCATTTTTTCTGGGGTTCAGGGCTATTCTACGAATTCGTAAATATGTCCATTGTTATTTTTTCGTCGAGCTACCCGTTTAAAAAAAAAGTTTCTACGATGAATAGAAGCCGAGATATTGCAAAATTTTACAGCGCGCATCAATTTGAACTTTTCTCGCGCGCGCGATTCGCTTGGACGAGCTTTCCCCACCACCACGCTGGACATTTTACTTAGCAAGTACCTTCTCTATAAAGGGCTCGTGAGTCGTTAATTTTCCACATTTTTCAATGCAATTCACGGGAAATCGTAGTCTACGTCGTAAACTTTATTTTGCGAAAAATTCAAGTCTTAATGTTTATAAACAATTGCACTACGATTTAAAAAAAATCTTATCTTGGCTCCTGTTGATCGTAGAGGGTGCTTTTTTTGTTTAAAAAATTTGTATTTTTTTGCCAGCTATCCATTGAATCTATTTTCGGTGAGGTAGCATAAATAGCAACAATTTTATTCAAACGGTTTTTTAATGCATAATTCAAGAATGTTAGTGTCAAAAAAACGGTGATATTTTTTAATAGGTCGCTTAATTACGTCTTTAAGATTACAATAACGCTTTCAGAATCATGTTTGGTTGAAAATTAACGCCTGTACAGAGGCTTAAAGTTCATAACTGTTGGAGCCTCCGTTATAAACAAATTGAATTGTGCGAAAACTATTGCACCTATAGCGCCCACATTTGGCACACTTTTAAAGTATGACAAAACCGTCAACGTGTCATAGGTTTTATAAAATTTAACAATAAATGCGATAGTTATAAACAAATTTAAAAATGGGCACTTTTCTTGTTTTTTTTGCAATAACTTTTTTGTTTATTTACCGATTTTAATTTAACAAGTCTCACTTTGTAGATAATTTTACTCCCTATAAGCTGCCTGCGAGTCACTTTTCGCTAAAATCGATGGTTTTCCCTGCAAAGTGAAAAACTGTTTTCCTCACTTATTTGTTTAAATAGAAAAGTTAGCTAATAAAATTTTTTGACTCACGAGATGATAGATGTCTTGTATTATGTTCCTGTAGACAATTTTACAATAATCTCGCGGATAGGAATTTTTTCGAGTATAAATTTTATTTGCTCGGCCTATTTACATTAAAGCTTTTTTTCATTATTTATTTTAATGAAAACTCAACTTCCAACGATACCCTACATTTCACAAAATAGCAAATTGAATTTCACGCTCATTATATTACGCTGCCGTCCATTTGGCGGCTTCCGTTGATCCCCCTGACAAATGATTTGGCGCTGGGAATTAATCAAATCATGATAAACTGTATTTTACGCCGCAATATTCAATATAACGTCGGATTCCGCGCCGGAGGACGGGATTTGCGATATTAAACGTCCAGGAATGTTCACATTGGCGACTGTAATTCACACTCGGAATGGAATCCATCGGCTCCGGGTCCGGTGAACGTCCGGGTGTGAAATATAGCCTGCCTGCGTCGCTGTTGCTCCACTGAGATAGATTTTATTCACCACTTCCACATATTTCATGTGGAAGAAGTCCTCAAAGTAACCTACTCATATTAATATACCGTCCCTCCTCACATAATATTTTCGTTCATTCGTTCTGTACAAGAGAAGAAAGATTGCACAGCCCCACAAAAAAAGGATCGGATCTGGTATTCAGACTCACGTATTTTCATGTATTTTTTTCGTAAATCCGAATCTGCCTTCAGATTTGGCCCAACGGGTCTGAGTTTTCGGGAAAATTCAAAAAACAGGTCAAAATTCACAAAAAAGTCATTCACGATCGACGAAAGTTATAAAAAAATCAAATTATTCTACGAGCTCACTAGACGTATGATTTTTCATTCGTTTAATTCCAATTTATCATTATAGAGTCAGACAAGCTGGTCCAATTTCATTCAAAAACAGAAAATAGATCAAAATATTTAAAAACGCCATTTTCATGGCATAATTCCTGTTGCAGAGTTCTGGGTACATCTTTTTATCCACCCACCCATTTATGAATTCATACAGCTTTCTATTCAGTAGTTCATGCATGAATACGCATATTTATTCATCCACTTGTACTACCTATAAAACCTACCCACCTCTAAATATAGGGACTAAACCAAAGCGTAACCCTTTCGTTTTCTTTTGTTTAGAAAGTAGAGCATTCTACAAGCTTTATTTATCTCAGCTCTCAGTACAAAAAGTAGATGGATAGATCGGTGGATGAGTGGGATTTATAGGTGATACAGGTGGATTAATAAATACCTATGCGTATTCATGTATGAACGCAGGCCCGGATCCAGAGGGGGTGGCGATGTGGCGATCGCCACCCCCAAAGCACAACATTTTTTAAAGATCTTCAATTTCTCCAAACGACAACAGGCAGTTAGTCGATATTAATGCAAGTCCCCCTTCCTAACCTACACCTTACGTCATCAAAAAAATAACAACAACAACAACAATAATAATAATAATAATAATGATAAAGAAGTGCTTTGCGCCATCCCCAAAACCAGTCTCTGGATCCGGGCCTGTATGAACGACTGGATAGAAAGATGTATGAATTCATAAATGGATGCGTGGGTGGATAAAAAGATGGATCCAGAACTCTACAACACGAATTATGCCATGAAAATTGCGTTTTTGATCTATTTTCTGTTTTTGAATGAAATTGGACCAGCTTGTCTGACTCTATGATGATAAATTGGAATTAAACGAGTGAAAAATCATACGTCTAGCGAGCTGGTAGAATAATTCGATTTTTTATAAAACTCAGACCCGTTGGGCCAAATCTGAAGGCAGATTCGGATTCAGCGGAAAAAAATACATGGAAATACGTGGGTCTGAACACCAGATCCGATCCTTTTTTTTGTGGGGCTGTGTTATTTTTAGATTAGTTAATTAATTTTTTTTCACATTTTACAGTGAAGTGATTTTATTGATAACATTTAAGGTTACCAACAATAATAATCAATTACAATAGTTCTATCGTCTCCAATTTTTTGTCTTATTTATCAATTATCGAGACTACACAATAATAATCAATCAGTTCTTTATTCGATGAAAAATTGACAAATGTAAAGCCGGTTTTGCTATTCAAAAGGTCAAACATGAATATTCTTTGCATATGTATACACACTACACAGGCTGTTACAAATTGGCTTTCTTACTACAGGGATCTCGGAAACGGTAAGAGATACGAGGTAGCTTATAAATGGGGCAATGTTACGTAATCAGGAAACCACCATTATGCATCTAAAAGATGATAAGAAATCGAAATATTTGAAAAAAAAACGAAATTTTTTAAATCTGTTTTTTTCATTTCAACCTTGTTTGAGGTGATATTGAAAAAAGAACACTTTCTCATGGCAACTTTTTGCCCTCTATCGAATGGCATAATCAATTTTTATATGTAAAGTTTCGTCTTTCCAGGACCATCCTCAACTTCATTTTTTTAAATACGACCTTGGAAATTCTATTAAATTTTTGCAAGCCTTTATGACTTACAAAATACAGAAGTTTTGTCTCGAAAAATTCATCTTCAATGTAAGTATTCGTTCCAAATTTATCTAAATTTTTTATGTAGATTTCTATATTTATTGAATTATCGTACACCTTGTGTCGTTAGACCCTGTGATATTGAATTTTGAGCACTCGAGAAACCTAGAAATAACTATGGGCACGGGATTAAAACTCTAATAATGTTTTATTGTAACGCGTGATGATAATAGTTTAAATAACCATGTGGATTTCACACGGTCTCACGACACTTAGAGTATACAATAATCCAATAAACATACAAATCTAAATAAAAAATTTGCATTTCGAATTCAATTATTTATTATAAATATTGAAAACGTATGGTGTCGGGGAAAGAATTAGACTTAGATTTTCTTAAATATCTTTAATTTGTGCAGCTTATTCTTAAAAATAACAAAACAAAAATCAAGACAGCCAATAATTTATAAATATGACCTCTTTTCGTGCTGTAAAAGAAATTCAGCAATGACATTTTGATTTACGTTTTACTAAAAACACATGCGTCCCAAATTTATACATTCAGCAAGTTTTTTTTCAAATGTTGGTAGAAACGAGTACAAGTCTTGAAAAATATGACCAATATGAGCTTTTCTTGGTGAGAATTTTCACTTTTCCTCTTAAAATCAGTAAATAATTGACACAAATATAAAAGCTTTATTAAAAAGAACATGTATACAAAATTTCAACAACAAATAAACTAGTAATATCACATGTATAATGAAAAAAGTATTCAGTAATCATAAATATACACTGGGCAAATGATTGGCTCTATGGCAGAGTAAGATTTCTTGTAAACCTTGTAGCAGTCGCTCAACCTCTTGGGCGTCGCCATATCTAAGCGCTTCCACATCATCTTCAACAGTTTTACGCAGCTCAAAACCTGCAACGAAGAAAATTGAATAAACTTACGATGTTCGTCCTTTTCCAAAGTAAACTTACACTTTTAAACGCCTGGAAATTCTTTTCCGACTGCCTTATATCCATGACCATACCAAAAATCGTGTTGATGAAATTAGAATGCGACGCTATTATCGAGGACAGGTCGTTCGCCTTTTCAAACTCCAGCTCGAAGTTCTGCAGGCACTTGGTGAAGATAAAGGAGAATATGTAGTGCTGGGTGCTGTTTAACATGTTCGTTAGTGTAAATTTCAGATATTTCAGCTTCATGATTGCGTTCCCGTGCGTTTTCGGTTTCTTCTTGTCCAGCTTCTTCGATTCCAGATCTAGAATAGAGAGAACATGCACGATTCTACGCCTAAAATGATCGTACTTACCAGTAAACGCTAAGTGGTTCATTGTATACAAAGCCCACTTGATCTGTATGATGAAACCGAATATGTCCTTGTACAGTGCCATCTGTGCGCCACTGATTATGATGTTCAACGGCCACTGTATCTCGTACTGTACGCTCATCATCAGGCATGCATCTAAAGGGTCGACGCACTGCCGCCAACCATCTTTGACCTGTACCAGGCACTTCTTGTAGAATTCGGGGTAGACATCCATGACAGTGTCATGTAGGTGGGACGTCAGCCAGATCTCGTTGCCCCAGTTTGGGTTGTGGGTGTTGGTCTGTAAAAAATCCACGAGAATTCGAATTTTTTTAAATTCTACGGTGATTTTAAAACAGTTCTGTAAAGCACCTGCTCAAGTAGAGGACTAAAATTTCTAGACGAATTGAACATCTAAAAAAAGAACAAAAACGTTTTCTCTAAAAAACTGCGAACAAAAAAAATCCTCGGAAAAATTTAACATTTTTGTTATAATACAAAATATACAGGGTGTACCATAACTAATAGTGCAAATGGAAATGGCTGTAAGGACACGATACTAGAAGCAAAAAGTCTTAGCAAACGTAGGTCCGCAGTTTTTCAGTTTTTTGACAATACTTCAAGAACTGTTTAAGATACAGAACTCAAATTTTGTATATGTATTATCATTAAAATTAGCTACCTTTGAACGCTAATTCAATTTTTATTCATATGACAGTGACGGAGATTTTAGGATTGCGTGAGGTTTTTTTTGCCCCTAATTTTTACGACTGGGAAAATTGGCATTTTGAAAACCTATTTTTAAAATTTTTATCATGGAAAACATGAGACAGTGGCAACATGATAAAAACATTATTTCAAAACTAAGCAAATAAATAACAAAAATCAGAACAGTTGCTTAAAAAACTGAAAAAAAATCTTTTTTTTTTGACACCATATCTTAAAAACAGTGCATTTGCAGACCCATGTTTACTAAGACTTTTCTGCTTCTAGTATCGTGTACTTACAGCTTGTTTCATCGGTCACTGTATTTGCCAATAGAAATAATATGATTTTGTATAAAAAAAGAACTAATACTTTTTGAAAGTTAAGACAGATTTTGAATATTATGAATCAGAAGCATCACATATGTACTCAAAAGACTGAAGTAGATTTGGACATGAACCCTGTCTCCGTCTTCCTTGACATAACTTTGCGAAATGATTTTTTTCTGGCCATGGTTTGTCAATTTGCTTTTATGTTGAAATATTGTCAAAAAACATCTTACAAGTATATATTTTTTTATTACAGAGAACTAATATTTCTTTCTTTTCGTTGTTTACTCATAAAAAATTAAAATTTTGTTCTTTTTTTTTAATTTTAAATATTTACTTTTTCTTAATTTTTACTTGAGCTCTATTAGTTTGAGATTTTTTGGCATACCGATTTAGAATACATAAATTTTGTTTATTCTGTGTTTGTTTTTATTTTTAATTTTTTCAATTTTCCATTTTATTAAAATTCTCCAATTCTTCTTTCGGAAAGAAAAGAAAAATACAATTTTTCCCCCAATGTCCTGTTTCTTAATTCTTAAATTTTTACTCGAGTGTAAAGTGCCAATATACAAATTCACTTCTCACTACAGGGATCTCGGAAACTGTAAGAGATACGAAGTAGCTTAAATGGGGGTAAAGTTGCACAATCAGGGGACCAACATTATGCCTCTAAAAAATCAAAATTAACATGATTAGTTTTCGAAATATTTGAAAAAAAAAACGAAATTTTGGAAATCCGTTTTTGTTTCGTTTCAGCCTTGTTTGAGGTGATATTGAAAAAAGAAGAACAATTTCTCATGGCAACTCTTTGCCCTCTATCGCATAGTAATTTTTTATATGTAACATTTCGTGTCTCCAGAACCATTATCAACTCTAATAATGCTTTATTGTAACGAGTCATGGTAATAGTTTAAATAATTAGGTGGATTTCACAGGGTCTAACGACACTTAAAGTGTACAATAATTCAATAAACATAGAAATCTAAAAAAAAAATTTAGATGAATTTGGAACAAATACATTGAAGATTAATTTTTCGAGACAAAACATCTGAATTTGGTTTGGACTGAGGCAGTACAGTATTGTGGGTCATGAAGGCTTGCAAAAAATGTAATAAAATTTCCAGGGTCGTATTTAAAAAAATTAAGTTAATGACAGTCCTGGAGAGACAAAACGTTACATATAAAAATTGATTATGCTATTCGATAGAGGGCAAAAAGTTGCCATGAGAAAGTGTTCTTTCTTTTTCAATATAACCTCAAACAAGGCTGAAATATTTCGAAAACTATTCATATTGGCCTTGATTTTTTAACGACATAATGTTGGTCCCTTGATTCTGCAACTTTGCCCCCATTTAAGCTACTTCTTATCTTTTACCGTTTACGAGATCCCTATATTGAGAAGCAAATTTATAACAGCCTACATAGGTATACAGTGAAAATCGGTTAAAAAGATCTTCAAGGGCCGTTTGTTTACGTAATAAGCAATTACATATATATTTTATTTAAAATTTGTGTAGAAAAAATTTACAATAAAAGTCTAAGTATGTACATGTATTGCTTTGTCACGCACTTCATTTTCACACGCTTCATTTTCAATTAATTGTTTTCGAATAGAGACTTTATTTTATTTCTATCCTTCCAAATTGTTGAAATCCTATTATGACACGCCACATTCTTTTGCTTGCTTGCATTAGTTCCTCCCTTTTAATCTCTATATTATATATGATTTTTCTTCTTTATTAAACACTTTTCTCCTTGACATCGTGATAGAAGGTGGTATTAATACATTATAAGATAACTGTATGCCTAGATAAGTCATAACTTGTCCCAAACATACTAACTGGTGTCAAAAGCGTGGATGCCGTGGGGCGTGGAAAAGTGGTGCATTGGTTTTAAGGCCGTATATCACTATTGGTTGTTATAAACGATAGATTCTATGCTAAATGTCGTGTCGCTAAATCCGAAATGTCAATGTAAACGGTGTCGTAGTAAACGATATTTTTAATATGGTTTTCTATAGAATTAAATCGGAACTTCCGAATTCCGTCGTTATATCCAGTATCTCGTATAAAGCAATGTCGTTATAACTAATTTTCACTGTATACTTATATTTTTTCATTACAGAGAACTAATATTTGTATCTTTTCGTTGTTTAGTCATGAAAAATTAAAATTTTGCTTTTTTTTTAATAATTTTAAATAAAATATTTTTATTAATTTTTACTTAAGCTTGATTAGTTTGAGATTTTTTAGCATCCCGATTTTGAATATATAAATTTTGTTTATTTTTAATTTTATTTATTTTTAGTTTCTTTCAATTTTTTCCATTTTACCAAAATTTTCCAATTCTTGATTAGAAAGAAAGGAAAAATACGGTTTCTTCCCCAATGTTTCCTGTTTCGTCACTTCATATTTTTGCACAAAAACATAAGATTGAGATATTAAAACGCATACATTGGCCAGTATTGGGATGAAAAAAAAGCGATGATACGAATTAGGTGGGAAACAAAAAACAAAAAAAAAAAAACGAAAAAAAAAGGGAACAGTAATTTTAGATAAAACAATGGTACTTAAAACAAAATATAGAATTACATCTTTTAAATGAATTTAAGAAAATGCTAAATATATAAAATTGTTAACAAAATATTTGCAATCGGTACTCAATTTTGATTTTCGCTTGTGCAAGCTTTTAATAAGCACAATATACAGGGTGTCCCGAAATTCATGCAACAAAATTTGGTCGTAAATTCTTAAGACAAATTTAGGGGACCCATATTTTTTCTTTTTGCAACTGGCCCCTTCTTTCGGAGTTACAGCCCCCTGAAATCTGCCACTAAGAAGTCTTTTATATCTGGAAACCATGTTTGACGAATATCACAAAATTTGGTACACAGGGGTTTTATGACATGTGCAATCTCATAGTGCTACGATTTTTGGCGAGAAATCCCCTTAAGACAATTTTTCGTGGGTCCCCTTGTCTTTGGAACCAGAAAAATTTGGTTGCAAATTTGATTTTTTTAAAATTATTAGTTAGCTAGAAAGCTATTGAATTTAGAAACTTTTTTGTCTCTTGATATTTGTTTCGTAAAACGCAATGTTTTTGAGGAAAATGGCGAATCACAATATGCATTCGATCAAATTTTGACATTTTTCTTGAAAACATTGCGTTTTACGAAAAAAGTATAAAGAGACAAAAAGTTTCTAAATTTAATGGCTTTCTAGTGGACTGATATTTTTTAAGAAATTTAAATATGCAACCAAATTTTTTTGGCTCCAAAGACAAGGGGGACTACGAAAAATTGTCTTAAGGGGGTTCCCCACCAAATAACATTGCAATATCAGATTTCACATGTCATATAACCCCTGTGTACCAAATTTAGTGATTCTCTTACAACAGGGTTCTGAGATATAAAAAAAATATTATTCTTAAGGGCGGACTTCAGGGGGCTGTAACTCCGAAAGAGGGGGCCACTTGGCAAAAATAAAAAATACGGGTCGCCTAAATTTGTCCTAAGAATCTGTGACCAAATTTTGTTGCATGAATTTCGGGACACCCTGTATTGTTAATTGTTGGTGTTATATGATATGACCTTGAAACCATGGTCAAGGTAATTTTAAGGTCAAATAAGATTTTTGATAGATACCGCTTGGAAACCGCAGAATAACTCTGAAGTAAAGGGTTATACGCAAACATGTTTCATACAAAAGTTTCAGGATTTTTCCGGGCTATTCAATGAAGACCTTGAATTTGACCTTGGCCTTGACCTTGAAGGTCATTTCAAGATCAAGGTCATTACCTCTGGAGTAGTCTAAAAAATAAAGGTTATGTAATCATATTCGGAAGTAAAATTTTCCGCTCTTTCTAACTCCACAATAAAAAATAAGATTGACCCCTACCTTGAAATAACCATGATCTCAAGGTCACGGTCAAAGCCATATTCGGACGTAAAATTTTCGGCTCTTTCCAATGGCTTGATAAAAAGTAGGGGTTCCCATTAGAAAAAATGATCTTGAAAATCCTGAAACTTTTGTATGAAACGTTTTTCCGTATAGCCCTTTACTTCCAAGTTATTCTGGGGTTTCTATACCTTTGGCATACCCTGTATAGTACAATTTTGTAATATTATTGCCACTAAAAAGTGACATATAATTTCTTAGGTAATTTTTTTTTTTAGGTAAAATTAATGTAAATTAACAAATAAAGGCTACAAAAAATCAAATTTTAACAAAAATGTTACTGATAAATTTTCTTTCTATAAGATATAACACCGCAACTTTTGTTAGAAGATTGTTAATTATTTTGATTGTATTTTTTTATTTGCTTTATCTAACTCACCTTTTCAAAGAGCCTCCTATAAAACGGGAAAATCAGGTCGTCGCAAAACAGAAACATGTGCCTCAGAAATTGAAACTGCTTCTCTAGCAGGTACTCCTCTATCAGGATATTCTTCACCATCAACCCCGATATGGTGAATCTCTCTTTGAGCAAACCGTTAAGGATTCTCTCGAAAAAGTTGCTTGTCGGGAACATCGTCGTGGTGATCTTGGACACCCTGCAAAAAAAATTGCTGATTGTTTGATCGGTATTGTTGATGTGACATACTTTTCGAACAGGGTTTTATCCTCTTGCTTTGGCGGTTCGGGCTTTTCCACAAAGTAGTCTTCGAAGGCCAACATCAAGAAACCGTCAGATGTGTCGACTAGATTTTCCAACTTGTCGAATTCTGTGGGCTTCTTGCACTCGTCCGTACAGATCACGGGGTACTTATACTTTTTCTCGGTGACGCAATCATAAAAAGTTTCATTGGTAAAGGTTTCCTCCACAGGACGTTCTTCTGAATTTACTTTAAAGAACTTTTCCAGCTCTTCCAGGGATCTCCTAACGAATTCTTGATGGATGGTTTCTGTTGCGAACAAAAAAAATTTCAACTGGTGCGGATAACCAAAGTTACCTTTGAACGTAAAATCATCGGATGTCCGAACTGTAAAAATACGACTTACCTTTACAGTCGTTGAAGAGAGAATATTTGCCTAATAGTATCAGAAAATGTATGTTTCTTCCAATCTGTAACACCGTTTCTCTGATGATTTTCAACAAGCCGTTCTTGGCACAAAAATCGTCCAGGCCGTCTCGTAGATCAAAGTTCAGCTTCCAGTTATCGGATTCCGCGAGGCTAAAAGCAAATGGTTAGTTTCTTGATTTTTCTGTGATTCATAGATACCTTTCTTCACTGTTTTCTTTGACGTATGTAGATGTATTGTTCCTATTTTTACTGAAATTAAAATTAATGAATCGTATCCTGTCGACAAACCGAAGTTTATACTTACTTGACTATAATGAATTCTCCAGAATAATCCGACAACTCGTTTTTCGTCAACCAGCAGTCGATTAGTGAGAAATAATGGTATAAACTTTCAAGGAATAAGGTTACTATCAGATCTTGTTCTAGTTTGCTACCGGAGAACTGTAGACTGTTGTGAAGAGCACAGAGGACATAAGTGGCACACTTTAGATGGTTGTTTTTGTTAAAATCGACTACTACTTCCTTGTGGATTTTTTTTAAGATCATTACAGGTTCCAGAATCGATTGAAGGTCGCGGTAGAGTTTCAACAGGGTATACGTTGTCTCTGCAATTTAAATTTTTACACTAAGTTTAAACAAGTTTTATTTTACGCTTACCTTGCTCTCTCACGCGGTCCTCCAGCTCCGACAATTTTCTATAAATAGGTCTCAAGATTTTTTGTAACGAGTTATCGTAGCTCCTGTAAGTTTGAGGTACTTCAGTGATGCAATCGTAAGTTTGGATTTCTAGAGATTTCGAAAATTCTCGGAAGAAATTTAGTACTTCCATGTACGGGATAAACTGAGTCAGGAATCTCTCAAAGGGTTCCTGAAAGTTCATAATTCAATTAATTTCAGCTGTAGAGAAAGATTTGGAAGGGTTGATAATGTTCTAGATATAAATTTCGTGTTCCTAAACTTTGCGACACAACGTGTGAAGAAAGAATTATGATGAGTACTGCAAAAATTTGCAGTATTTTATTAAAAGCTTACCGCACGGATACTTGCGATTGTGACATCAGGTTTCGGCTTTATATTGTTCCTTTCCAGTTGAAAAACCGCGGAGGTATGCAGAGACCACAACTGCCACAAAATTTCTCTTATAACCTTATATTCCGACAGGATGCACGATTTCTCAATTGGGATTAAATCCATCACTTGATTTTCCAAAAACTTATCCCTTAACAAACAGAATATAGATTGTGTTTAATCGTATACGTTTACTGCTTACCAGTGTATAGCGATATTCGCTTCCCTCCATTCGCTGAATGGCGTCATATGAAACCGTGTTTGGTTATACCAAGTGTGCTGAATTGTAGCCAACAATTCTTCACGATTCGCTCTCAGATCGACGATGGTACCTTTTTCGGTATCGTCGATAACTGTGGGTAAGTGCGATGTATTATGCCCACTTCGATTTCCTCTACCATCCGTGTCATTTTCAGAAAAGGAACTTTCCGAGTCATCCTATAACAAGAACAATACCGTTTGTTGTACCAGTAAATTTATATTACATACGCTCCCTTCATCGAAATTTGGAGTCCAGGTTTCTATACCTTCCTTCAGGTATTCCCCCCAGTTGATCTCTTCTTCTTCATCCTTCTTTTCGGTTTGAAATTCTTGAGGGTTTTCTATGAAATTGCTCGTAGGTCTTTCTGACAGGCACAGTAAAAGCTTGACGATATTCAAACGGTTAATCAGTTCAGGTTTGGGCAGGTTCTCGGATATGTAACATTTGTAAGAGTCTTGTAAAGCTTTGGCTTGCGGGGAAAAGCCGTGGAAAGTGAACTTTTCCGCCATACTGGCAATGTTTTCGTCGACCTCTCGCTTGTTTAAGAAATACATCGTGTCTGCTTTTTTCAAGGTGGTTAAAATGTGTCTCTGGATGTAGTTAAACGCATCAGTTGCCTCCTAGAATCGTTCGGTTAGGACTTCGTTTTACATGAAAAAATATTTTATGGTTAGGTTACCTGAAAGCCAGACATTTGAGTTATTAAGTCCTTTACAGACGCAGCGATCTCTTCACTGATTTGTCTCGCCATTATTACTTAAGAATTAACACCATACAATTAAAAATTCTCATCACAAGGCTATAAATTCAGCAATTTCAAAGAATCTCATACAAAACAAAGCGTATGTTTGACATTTATGGTCCATTACACCTACCCTGTTTGAAATGATGGGTCGATTAGTTTTAGGAAGGCAGTAGGCGCAGGTCTAAAAGTATCGATGTGCCTACCGCAGTTACAGGGTGAGAAAAGAAAAATTCATGCGGAGTAACTACAGGGTGATCCATTAACGGTACGGAGCGGCTGTACATAGTAAACTAGACGTGCTACGATTATGGGGTAAAAATCTATTAACAAATACGGCCAAAAGAAATTGATTTAAAATATTTTCAAGTATGTATCTTCACCGCTAGGGGGCGCAACTGCTATAGTGTTACAGAAATTTGTCATTGGTAAACCCTTTACAAGTTTTGTTTGAACTTTTTTTTGTTATTACCATAGCAACGCCAGTATGAAGCACGCCATCTTGAAATTTTTAAATTGTCATAACTTCTAAATGCCTTAATCGATTTCAAGAAACGACGGCTTATTTTAAAGATATATTAATAACATTTATATTTATGATATGGGAATAAAAATATTATTTTTCTACGCAACAGTAGATGGTGCTAATTAGAAAAGTTTTGTAATTGCCTCCACTTACTAAAAAAATATTAAATGCAACGACATAGGTTTTTTTTATAGTTTGATAGACCATTTACTAAGGAAAACAAATACACAATTTAATTTTGGCTTGGACTATGTCATTGTTATTTAGAGAACAAAATAAAGGAGGATGTTCTAGCACAACTTCACTAATTTAGCAATAACTTGAAAACGAAAAAAGATATCGACCTCCGGTTTGTGAATTTGTTTTCCTCAATAAATTGTCTATGAAGCCATGAAAATCTATATCGTTGCATTTAATTTTTTTACTAAACGGAGGCAATTATAAAACTTTTCTGATTAGTTTCGTCTACCGTTGCGCAGGAAAATAATATTTTTATCCCGATATAACAAAAATAAATTTTATTAATGGTTCTTTAAAATGAGCCGTCGTTTCTTGAAATCGATTATGGCATTTAGAAGTTATGACCATTTAAAAATGTCAAGATGGTGTCCTTCATACTGGCGTTGCTATGGTAGTAACAAAAAAAAGTTCATACAAAATTTGTAACGGGTTTAACAGTGTATCTAAAATGTGTATTTTCAACTTAGGTTATATATGCGAAATTTCGAAAGAACGACAATCTTCTGTAATACTATAGCAGTTGCGCCCCTTAACGATGAAGATACAAACTTGAAAATATTTTATAAATCAATTTCTTTTTGCCATATTTGTTAACAGATTTTTTACTTCATAATCGTAGCATGTCTACTTTCCTATGTACAGCCGCTCCCTACCGTTAATTGATCGCCCTGTATATTGTTTTCTTTTCAGTGAAAATGTGGACTTTTAAACCTAATTTTCCAAACGCTAAATAAATTTATTTAAGTATATCTGTCAGTTTCTTATGCATATTTTTTTATGAACAAATATAGACTTGATTGGTAAATGAATTTATTAAGAGATGGAAAAATCGCTCCTAAATATAGTTTTTACCATTACTAATGCGATGTTTGTCCCGACTTTGGAAAATTTGAAATTTTGCGTATGTTGTTGGGTGCTTTAAATAATTTCTCTTCAGTTTTATTTCTTTTGAACCTTTTGAGATATTAATGAAGCTTATCAAAGTTAGTTTCCGGCCTAAAATTTACGGCAAAGTTCTTATCTACTGGCGTTGTAGAAATTGCTTGTTTATAAGTAAAACTAGTACACCGTTTATTGCAGTCTTCGTTAAAATTTTTGTGATGATTTTAACATGTTAGGTTAGTACGATTTTAATTATAGTTATTAGTAATTTTATCATTTGCAATATTATATTTTGGAGGATATATTTAGAATATGGATATACAGGTACTTACTGTTTTAAACTTTGTATTCGTTATATGTATTCCCTTATTCCCTTAAATATTAAAGCAGTTATAAGGGAGTGGGGTAGGTTTATCATTATTATAATAAATGCTTTAAAAACAAAGAATTTTATCTAAACTGTCATTTATTGTTAATTATTGTTGTTGTTATTGCATTTCTTTTGTCTTAATCGGATGATGCAGTTGTTTCTGTGTCAGTAGTTGATTGCGTTGAAGATGGTGGCCCTCCTGGTGGTGGTCCCCCTGGGGGTGGGGGGTCGCTTCCATTGGGCTTAGGCGGTGGCTAGAGTAGCAAACAAAAAAAGGCGCAGTTTGCATATAAAAAATATCCGAAAAACTAACAAAAATAATAATGGTGACAATTTTTATACTGTATTTTTTTAACATACAGGGTGTTTTGAAATTTCTACATTAAAACAAATTAAATAATGCCTTGAACATACAATAACTTTTTTACAATTTACTGCTTAAAATTACTCTTACTACTACTAATTACTCACCCCTTGGCCACACACAGCAAGCACCAAAGTGATAATAACTAGAAAGAATAGGTAGATCCTCATAGCTGACACACTTGTTAAAGCTCTCGAAATGTTGAACCTTATATATATATATATATATCCTTTATTTCTTGAACAGGAAACAATTATTTCAATTTATATCAACAATTCATTGACCAAATTACTATAAAAAAATTAAATTGTGTATTTTTTCGATAGGAAACATTGTAATGAAACATCCTGTCGCGTAATTATTATAATTAGTAACTGACATAAAAAGTACAACAAATAAAAGTGAACTTTGGTGAAGTCTACTATATACCAGGTGTTCTTGAAAATTAGTTTCTCTTATCAACATGTATTGGTGAAATTTTATGCTATGTCATCTTTCTTCAAAGGTGAATTTATTCTAATGACGTTTTTTTCTTCTTTTCTAATAGAAAAATTTAAAAAAGCTGAAAAACTGAAAAAAACTCTTTCCTGTTTTCCAAAGTAAAAAACGGACACAAAAATAAAAAAAATTACGCAGATACTAATTCACCTTCTTTCTTCCAGTTGATGATGCAGAAGCGCGACATAGTCCTGACGGCCGTATTCTCGAGCTTGGCGGCTCTCATCCTCATAGCCGGCATCGGGGCGGCCTGCTACTTCTTCCATAAGAGGAGGCGCAAGCGCGAGGAGGACGAAGATGACTCCCAGCAGGGCAACTGCAGCAGGCTGGAGGCCGCTCCCGAGAAGAAGTCGAAACTGAACGGGTTCCTGAGCCTGAAGACGCCTCTCATTTCGACCAAAACGTTAGGGTGAGTAGATTCATAGCCAATTATCAAATACACAGAGAAAATATTGAAATTTTACTCTATGTATATTAGGTTCGATTAGAAAATGTGAAAAATTAATTTTTCTACCATTTTTCTGAACCTTGCGTAATATACAGGGTGAATATTAAATTAAATTTAAATTGCGCAGCAATCATAACCCAAATTATAATTTCATGTTAGAAAAATCCCTTAAAGACAGAAAAATTAATTTAGCACCTTTGAAAACCATGTAAGTTCATTTATTGGAAAAACTTGCTTTTATGGTTTCAAGTTTTTTTTGTTTTGTACCTCATATTTAGTTTGAGAATATTTTTTAATTTTACGTCATCTGTAAATTAATTTCAAAACCTCGTTAAGGCAAACTGCAATGTATGCAGACTGAAAATTTCTTTACTATTCCATTTAGAAGAATTACCGCTTTATTATAGTTATATTTTCCGTATTTAGTAAAAGTAATAATTTTTAACTAAGTGTACAGTTTTAGTAGTACAGCTAAATTATAATATCTCTTCCTTGATTGATTAGAATAACAACTATTTTTCTGAATATACATATGCATTAAAGTATAATTTTAATAACGCAGAAACAACCCACAATTTACAATAAACATTTTTTTTCTGTTTCTACAGAAACAACTCACAGTTACGAGGTTTTCAAAGTAAGAATACTGAAATACTATCATAAAGTTTTATTGAAAGTTGAATATATTAGATTTAAAAACAAATACATTTCACATATAAAAGCTTACCTAATTATTGGAAAATAATAAAGTACTTAAACAGTTGGCTGTTACAAACTAAATTTAATTAGCGACCTGTGGAGCGAATGTCGTTGTAATCTTCCCATCCACATGCAGACAACTCAAACTTAGTAAGTACATAAATAACGAATATTAAATTTGAAATGACGTAGGTATAGACTCTTTTAAGAACAACCAACACGTGTTTCGTAAGATAGATACACTATAGTACATTGTGTAGCGAGTGGGCAAAGGTTGCCAATAGCGCCACGCGGATGCAGTTGACGCACGAGCGAGGCGAGTGCGGAAAGCGACCAAGTGGCGCTATGGCAACTTTTCCGAACGAGTTGCACATACTATTTTCTATCACAAGTGCGAGTCGTTATGGGACCTATAGCTATAGGTCCCATAGCGAGCGCGAGTGATAGAAATGTACTTTAAACTTACGATATAAAATCATATTCCTAAATTTAAGTAAAGTAAAAATTTAACATTAGCCGTGTTATTCCTAATGCTCGGAAGGAATAGCCTCATACGCAGGTGAGCTCTTGTTGATATGTTATCGCTGTCATCATTTTTCTCTCTTTCTTTCTCTTGTTTTGTTTAATCTTAGCATTTTATAGTTCTACTAAGTATTGTTATTGTTTTTCTTGGTGTTGTACTGTGTTAGTGTGTTTGTGTTTTTTTCTTCAAGTAATTTATTTATAGACGTACTCTTAACCCTAACCAAACTTTTCTTGAATGATATCTTGTTGCAAGGCTACTTCGTTTACATGAAATTATCTTTAATGCGCATGCATTGATATAATTTTAATTTATTAATTACTATAAAAGTCAATATTGCTCTATAAATTTAAATTTAAAAATTCTATAATTTTATTAGTTCGTCATTTGGAGTTTGAAACTTCTTAAATATTTCTGATATTGCAAGAATATCGCAATATTTAAGGTCATGACAAAGAAGCCATTTTTTTGACACTTAATGTCCAAAGTACATAAGGTCGAAAATCGATCGAGTAAAAATATCGAGAAATTCTTCATGACAAAGTGCACTATGGGGTTGACTATCATTTGGCGTATGTGACGTCACTACTAAAAAGGTCTATTTTGATTTTGTACAAGTATGCTTTAAATTAAAGAAACTCACTAAGTATCTAATTTTTCCTTTGGGATATTTGACATAATCAAACAATTACAATGTTGCAATATTGTTACTTTTTTCAGATGTAACATCAAACCGTATTTTTTTTTTTAATGTGAGGTAGGATCCACCATTAAAGTTTAGCCAAGCTTTTCAGTTTCACACACCCTGTAGATCAGGATATGTTCTGAAAAATACGCTTTAGCATCTACACATCATGTTATAATATGGAAGAACTGATTTTAAACATTTTATAGAGCTTTGTGCTATCAAATTCAATATGTGAGTAATATTTGCCGTATAAAAAATATTAAATTTCCATTACCATTACTGCCAGTAAAAGTTTATGATTTATTATTAAAGGTGACATTTTATTAGAAGGATTATTACACATTTGGAAAATTTTATGTTAAAAGCGGTTAAAAACGGCGGAAAAAGGCAAAGTTTATGGTTGCTTCCATTTATTTTGTTCTTACATATTGGGGTCCATGAAACCAAGGTGAAATTATTTTTAAAACTATACTGGTGCTGCCATCTCGTCTTCTCCGTAATATTATCAAATTTCAAGTCAATAATACTATCGCACTGCCCTCTACTGTGATGTACAATCATTAGACTTACAGATTACAGATGGCGCTCTATCTACTTAAATATCTTTACATTTCGACTTCCAATCAAGCTTAGAGGCAGTCGACAACAGTGTTAATCAATATTTTTAAAATATATAGCGCATGATCAGTAATATTCGGAGCAGAATTCTATTTGATAGATATAGCTTTATTTTAAAATCGATAAGCTAAGGAAGGAGAACGACGAAAATGATAGGAAACTGTAAGTAGTTCTTTGTAAATCAATAACCAGGTGAAAATTGAATTACAAATTAATTATTTTCTTCGCTCCTTTCTATGTGAAATAAATTGTGAGTTTGTTTTAATTGTACTGTAATATTACTAGAAACAAATTAAGGAAAGAGTTGTGGTATCAAGTATCAAAATGTTCCGGCAGTTGCCTAACCACAGAGGCCAGTAGTGTTATCAAAGCTAGAAATTGATATGTGAAGTGAATCTAATTTTTATGCACAGTGTGACCCAAAACTGATCGCCGCCATTATAGAAAAACGGAATGAGCAAATAGGAAATTACAAGCGGATTTTTTTACGGCATGATTATGTATTAATTGATTTAAAATTCCATTTTGGTAAGTTTACCAACCTGTGATGTCATCGAAATTATTTTTCCCAGTTTGACATATTTTTAATATCATATTAAAGTTTTCGTTATTCTCAACAACTTTAATTTAAAAAATATTTCCATATCTCTCGCCATTCAGAAGATATGAAATGATGTATACAGGGTGCCTTTGAAATGCAACGCTGATATCAGTAACAGACTTGATAAAACCACTGGTTTCCTCTATACAGAAATGCGTGTACCACCAGGTCATCCTAGATTCTTTAGGACAAACTATGACGGTTTATGCGAATTTACTTATGTGCCGTAAGGGCGCTAGGGATCGCCAAAGTTTTTGAAAAATATTAATAATCAGTTATAAAACGGAAAAGCGTTGAACAATTAAAATTAAATTTGTCATGTGAAAAAATATTGGGAAAAAGCTTTTCTGATGCAATTAATATTAGTTACATATTTGCACAAATCCCTTATCAAGTTATCAAGTTTTAGCTTTCACAATAAAAATTGTGAAAATTAGATAATACACAAAAATTTTTTTAACAGAGGTATCGAGTTAAAGCACAAGAAAAACTTTTTACCAATATATTTTCACATACCAAATTTTATTTTAATCGTTCAACGCTTTTCCTTTTTATAACTGATTTATTGATATTTTTCAAAAACTTTGACGCACTCTAGCGCCCTTACGGTGTATTTTCTCATATAGATAAATTAGCGTAAGTCGTTATAGTTTGACTTTAAGAATCTAAGGTGGATCGCTGTATATGCATTTCAGGGACACTCTGTATAGAGAAAAACACTGGTGCGATCAAGTCTTTTACTGAAATCATTGTTGTCGTACTTTCATTGTTTATATTCATTATTGATATAAATAATTTGTCTCTATAAATCCCTACTTATTTAAAATCTTATCGAGCTTTCCCAAAAGCCAGTGCGATAGTTTTTCGTCGTGACCTTTGCACCTAATCGTCGCCAGTTAAAGAATTACATTGCACTTCCTTGGCTTTAGCTAGAATCTCTTACCTGTCCTTGTTGTTTTCGAGCTAGTCTCTGTGGGGGCGAAGCCGTTAGCAGAACTTCTACACCCGCCCTGATGTTAATTTCAGTTCTTGTTCGTTTTAAAGTCGCTACGGACGAAACCGCTTCTCTGGGACGTTCTACAACTGCTCACATCCTAAGCTTACAAACGTTTGGCCATTCTTTAAT